CCGTGGGCCAGACCCAAGGGGTGGGGGGGGGGGGGGGCGCTGAGGCTGCTGTTCCCCCTCCAGGCTCAGAGGGGGAGATTTCAGAGAGAGGAGCCCAGCTTTAAATAGCTCCGGAAAACAGGATGTGGGACGGGATCCCAAGGGGGGGGGGGGGGGCGCTGAGGCTGCCTTTCCCCCTCCAGGCTCAGAGGGGGAGATTTCAGAGAGAGGAGCCCAGCTTTAAATAGCTCCGGAAAACAGGATGTGGGACGGGATCCCAAGGGCCAGGAATGGATCGTGTTGCAACAGCAGCAAAAACAAAAAACAGAGAACCTAGTGCTGGATCCAGCTCCCAGTCTGCTGGGACCAGGTGGAAAAATCCTGCCTCCCCCAGAGACAGGGCTGGGGCAGATTTCCAAGGGTGGAGGGGCAAACGGACAATCCCCAGAGGGATCTGGGTCCCCAGCCCGGCTTTTCACTCTCCTGGATGCATTCCTGAGCTAACAGCTTCAGCTTCCCCCTCCACACTCGGGCAATAATGGATCTAAGCTGGGGGGCAGACACAGAGACAGGCCAGTGATGCCCCGACCCCAGCCCAGCGGGGGGGAGGCCGGACAGACACCCTTGCTCTGCCGTCTCCCCATACTTTAAAGGGCCGCTGGCTGGCTCTCTGCTGTGCTGCCTCCTTCCAATGCACGAGGGGGCTGAACCCAAGACAAGCAGCCAGTTTCCCCATGTGACCTGTCAACTCTTGAGCCAGCCACCACCAGCCTCTCCCCAGGGTATTAATGACACACACGTGGCTGAGACACAGATCGGCCTCCTGCCCTTGGCTCCAGCATGGCAGGGGGCTCTCGGGAAAGCATCAACATTTTGGAGATGGGTCTTCGGGACACAGAGCACAGTCCCCATCTCCGCCAGTATAAGCTCAGTGGGTGGGGGGGCTCCGTTCCCCATTTACACCCATCATGGACTCCTGTGGGACTGGCACTAACCCCCCACCAATCCCGTGGGGCTGGCATGGACCCACTCCCCACCTGCCCCGCTGTCGCCAACCACTTCCAGGCTCTATTCGTAGCAGGGGGAGGAAGTGTCAGTCGCTGGGGCTGGCAAAGCATCAGTGGCACAAGCTCCCTCTGAAATCTAGAATCCCATCCCAAGGAGGGGGCAGAGACGCCCCTTCTCAGCCCCAGATGGACTGGGATGGGGCAGGGGAAGGAGCAGGCACAGAGGGGGGGCAACAAACCTTCACGCTCACACATGGGCCCTCCAGCCAGTGTCCTGGGCTCCCCCTCCATTCCAATGTCCCTGGAACAGCCCACCCCACAGACACCTCCTCCAGCCCAGCCCCCTCTCCCTTGAAGCCAAGAGGGTGGGAGCTTGAGATCCCTGCTGGGAGAGGGGTTCCCCATTTAGCCCTGGAATGCCCCAAGCTGGAGGTCCTCGGAGTTCCCTTAATGGGCAAGAGGCAGCACATTCCTTCCTCGGGCGGGCTGTATGAAGACACCAGCTATACCCAGATCAGCAGGAGCCACCTCTTCAGTCAGCTGGGTCCTCTCCCTGCTGCCCCGGCCATGGGAAAGCCCCACAGGTGGGAGGTGCCTTCAGCTCCGGACAACGTACTGGGGGGGGGGGGTGGATAAATTATTCCCCAAATTCCCTCTTCATCAGCTCTTGAGCTATCCCAGTCTGTTGCAGCCTCCCCCCCTCCCCAAGGAATCACCCCTTCTCAGAGCAGCACTGTTGGGGTTGGGGCAAACCTGAAGGGGATGTCAGTCAGGTAGACACCTCCCTCCACCCCCTCACCAATTAGGTACCCAACTGATGCCTTTCCTAGGCTAGGGCAGGGGCTAGATCTGTGGGACTGGTGGGGGGGGAGCAGGGAGGGAGAGAGGAGGTCACTGTCTCTATAATCCTCCCCCAATGATCCTCTGATTAGCAAGAACTGGGGTGGGAAGGTTCCTCTCACCCTTGTGGGCTGGAAGGACTGTCAAGAGCTTAGATGGGGGTGGTTATTTGCCCCCTGATGATCTGGAAGACAAGCCCTCCCCACCCAAAACATCCAGAGTAAATGAGGACATGCCCCTCCATGCCAGTCCCAGCACTCTTCTTACCCCGACAGATGCCCCTGCTGGCCAAGGGGTCTGCCCCAAAGTTGCACTCCAGCCCCCTGTGGGGGTCACAGGGCCAGTGCTTACTGCAGTCATCATTCAGCTGCCTGGCACAGACTTGGCAGCACCCGCAGCCATCAGGTACCATGCTGACCCCCGGAGCACAGTGGGGTGGCTTGGTGGGGCAGAGACACTGCAGAGGGCAACGACACGCCACCTACAGGCAAAGAAACCCCACGGATGAGGGAGAGTGTTTTGACGGACCTAGAAAAAAAACGAGTCACAGCTGGTTTGGACTGGAGACCCTGGGGTTGGAGGGGAAGGGAAAGAAGAACATTTTTGTAGGTCCTACAAAAATGTTTTCCAGGTTTTAAATAGACAAGCCGAGTCCAAACATTCTCCCCACCCCCATGAGTAGACACGCTGGGCAGCACATCAAAGAAGGGACTATTTTGGGTTGGATGAACCAGTCCTCTTTTTATAGAAGGTGGCACCAAAATAGTTTCCTAGGTGCAGCTACGTGTCTCACAGGGTCTGCATTCCCCCCGCCCCCTCCCCCACCTAAATAAACCTCAAACTCCAGCCAGGATCAAAGTCACTAAACTCCACAGAGCTGAGGCAGAGAAGAGATATGGAGTCCGGGAAGTAATAGATAAAAGAACAAAGAAAGACCCATCCGCGTCAAGTTCTGCTTTCAAGTCCCACTGGAGTTACTCCTAATCTTTTGTTTACACGCGTGTAAATCCACTGCAACAGCTCAGGAAGTGACTCCGGGTTCACACCAGAGGGAGTGAGCGCAGAAAGCCGGATCTTCAGCTAGCGCAAACCGGTGTCACTCACACTGCTAGGAGAACCTCACCCCCACCCCCCCA